ATGCTCTTTGATTGTAGGTGAACTTTAAATCCCAGCAACTACAACTCCCAAATGACAAAATCCATTTTTTTGCTTGAAGGACATACATTGGGTTGTTAGGTGTCTTGTGTCCAAATTTGGTGTCAGATTCGTCCAGTGGTTTTTGAGTTCTGTTCATCCCACAAACGAACATTACATTTTTATTTATATAGATATTTATATATGTATGTATATATGTATATATATACATTATACCATTAGCACAGCACAATATCTGCGCTATACATCACTATATTGTACTATACAATTATATTGTAATATTATTAGTAATACTACATGTAAAATAAAATATATATAATTATAATATCATATTATTATTATACTGCATTACATTATATTATAAATATTATATGTATATACAATATATTATATTATATTATATTTTGTTGTTGTTCATTCGTTCAGTTGTCTCCGACTCTTCGTGACCTCATGGACCAGCCCACGCCAGAGCTCCCTGTCGACCGTCACCACCCCCAGCTCCTTCAAGGTCAGTCCAGTCACTATTATATTATATTATATTATATGTTAGCATAGCAGTATGTAGATCCAGTAGTTATCTTAGGGCAGTTAGATGCCATTTAAGGTGCCAATCCTGCAGAATCCTGTAGTTTGACACTGTCTCTTGCCAAACTATAACTTCCAGGAACTTTGAGTCAGTTAAAATGCCAACTACATGAATGGTAGTTACTTGTTTGTTTCCTCTGTTAATTAAAGATGCTGAAATTTGTTACTGGGTTTCACAAAAATGGAACTGGTATGATGGAAGGGAATGATGTGGATGCTTTCCAGGGTATCCTAGATCCGAGTCGCATATCTTCCAAAGGCCAAGGCGCTTGCTGGGCTTTTTTCACAAGGGAGGCTTTGTCCGAGGCCAAGGCGGCAGGTGCGAGTCTTGGCAGCCGCCTTCTCCGCATTCTTCTGGATGGAGATCTTCACGCAAGAGGAACTGCGGCCTTCAGTATGCAGTTTCCCCCGAGGGGCTTGGCACGCAGAACAAAAGGCAAAGAAATAGCTGGCTTTGCCAAAGAGAAAACCCTCCGACAGACTCAAGTTACAATGTCGGTGCCAAGGATTCTTGGCTTCCTTTCTGCAGCTCCGGAGACTAGGAAATGGAGCAGTGGATTCCAACTGCAGGAAAAGAAATTCCATCTAAACATTAGTAAGAACGTCCTGTTGAAACATGGGTCTGGTCTCATCTTCGTCCCTGACTAAAGGGGGTTGGACTGGATGACTTTTTGGGGTCTCTTCCAACTTTAGGATTTTATTCTATACTAGCTGTTCCCTGCCACGCGTTGCTGTGGCCCAGTCTGGTGATCTGGAAAATAAAGTAACGGGAAAGTGTTGGTTTCTAATCTATGTAATTTCTCTATCCTTGTGGGTAAACAGTATTTCTGGTTGTTTCTTTGTCAGTGTTGATGTGGAGATTGTCTGGTTTGCCTTCTCTGGAATATGCAACATATAATTATCCTTCTTTAGGGGTCCCTATCAAATCTATGATACTATATCGGTGGGTGTGTGGATCATATATATCTATATCTATGGCTGGATGGCTCTTTGTCAGGAGGGCTTTGATTATGTTTTCTTGCCCTGGGGAAGGGAATTGGACTGGATGGCCTTAAGTGTTTGCTGTTGGTCATGGGGGTTCTGTGTGGGAAATTTTCCCCAATTCTGTTATTTGTGGGATTAAGAATGCTTTTTGATTGTAGGTGAACTATAAATCCCAGCAACTACAACTCCCAAATGTCAAGATTCTATTTTCCCCAAACTCTACCAGTGTTCACATTTGAACATATTGGGTATTCGTGTAGAGTTTGGTCCAGATCCATCATTGTTTGAGTCCACCATGCTCTCTGGATGTAGGTGAACTACAACTCCCAAACTCAACATCAATGCCCACCAAACCCTTCTAGTATTTTCTGTTGGTCGTGGGAGTCCTGTGTGCCACGTTTGGTTCAATTTCATCATTGGTGGAGTTCAGAATGCTCTTTGATTGTAGGTGAACTATACATCCCAGCAACTACAACTCACAAACGTCAAGGTGTATTTCCCCCAAACTCCATCTGTGTTCCTAGTTGGGCATATGGAATATTGGTGCCAAGTTTGGTCCAAATCCTTCATTGTTTGAGTCCACAGTGCTGTCTGGATGGAGGTGAACTACAACTCCCAAACTAAACGTCAATGCCCACCAAACCCTTCTAGTATTTTCTGTTGGTCATGGGAGTCCTGTGTGCCGCGTTTAGTTCAATTCCATCATTGGTGGAGTTTGGAATGCTCTTTGATTGTAGGTGAACTATAAATCCCAGCAACTACAACTCCCAAATGACAAAATCATTTTTTTTAGTGATGGTCACTCCTTTGGTTAGTAAGTATCTTGTAGCCAAATTTGGCGGCAATTCGTCCAGTGGTTTTTGAATTATGCCAGTCCCACAAACAAACATTACATTTTTATTTATACAGATAGAAGAGACCTCGTGGGCCATCCAGTCCAACCCCATTCTGCCAAGAAGCAGGAAAATCGCATTCGAAGCACCCCCCACAGATGCCATCTAGCCTCTTCATTAATGAAGTTCAGAATGCTTTTTGACTGTAGGTGAACTATAAACCTCAGCAACTACAACTCCCAAATGCCAAGATCTATTCCGCCCTCCTAAACTCCATTGGTGTTCACATTTGGGCATATTGAGTTTTCATTCCAAGTTTGGTCCAGATCCATCATTGTTTGAGTCCACAGTGCTTTCTGGATGTAGGTGAACTACAACTCCAAAACTCTAGGTCAATACCCACCAAACCCAGTATTTTCTGTTGGTTGTGGGAGTTCTTTGTGCCAAGTTTGGTTCAATTCCATCGCTGGTGAAGTTCAGATTGCTCTTTGTTTGTAGGTGAAGTATAAATCTCAGCAACTACAACACCCAAATATCAAGGTCTATTTTTTCCAAACCCCACCAGTGTTCACATTTGGGCATATTGACTATCTGTGCTAAGTTTGGTCCAGATCCATCATTGTTTGAGTCCACAGTGCTCTCTGGATGTAGGTGAACTACAACTCCCAAACTCTAGGTCAATACCCACCAAACCCAGTATTTTATGTTGGTCATGGGCGTTCTTTGTGCCAAGTTTCGTTCAATTCCATCGTTGGTGAAGTTCAGAATGCTCTTTGATTGTAGGCGAACTATAAATCCCAGCAACTACAACTTCCAAATGACAAAATCAATCCCCCCCAATCCCACCAGTATTCAAATTTGGGCGTATTGAGTATTTGTGCCAAATGTGGTCCAGTGAATGAAAATACATCCTGCCTATCAGATATTTACCATATATTCTGGCGTATAAGACTACTTTTTAACCCAAGAAAGTCTTCTAAAAAGTCAGGGGTCGTCTTATACGCAGGATTAGTCTTATACACTGGAGTAGTCTTATACGCTGGAGTAGCCTTATGCATGGGAGTAGTCTTATATGGCGGGAGTCATCTTATAGAGCGGGTGCTGACACTTCCAATCTGGATTGGAGACTCTGTGGTTGCTGCATATTGTGGGGAGAACTCAAAAATGGCAGTGAGCGCATCCCTGCTGTATGCAGCAACTGTATGAAAGCATTAAGGGTGACACTATACAAGTATGGTAAAAGAAAATCCATTCATCGGGATTCGTGGACTTAATGCGGTCCTGATGGTGAGGTGAAGGGGCATCTCATGGGGAAGGTGTAAGTGAAGGGTGGAGCAAGCTGCAGGCATCCAGGGGCACCCGGTGTATGGAAAAAAGAGAAAAGCACACCTCTTTTACCTGTCTGGCCCGCCCTTGTATCCTATTACTGCACCTCCTCCTCTGCCTTGCAGATCTCGCTCCTGAAGACTGCAGTGAAGTGGTGCATGTGCGAGATCTGAGAGGCAGAGAAGGAGGTACAGTAATAGAAAAATCGACATATTGAAATCAAATCTGATGCTTTTAACATTTTTATTTGGTGTGCATTGGAAGAGGGGTAGTGAGTATACTGTGAGTATATCCCAAACTCTATATTTTAACTGGAAAAGTTGGGGGTCATCTTATACGCCAAGACGTCTTATATGCCGGAATATAATACCAATTGAGCACCGGATCACTTTCAAAGTGATGGTACTCACCTTTAAGGCCTTGCATGGTCTGGGGCCGATGTATCTGAGGGACTGCCTCACCCTCTACCAACCCCAGAGATCCCTCTGTTCTGAGGACCAAGATTTGTTGGAAAATCCCAGTGTCAAGACCTTGCGTCTAACAGCAACCAGACGCAGAGCCTTCACAGCAGTGGCACCATCACTCTGGAATACTCTGCCACCTGAAGTCCGTGCCTTGCGGGACTTAACAGCTTTCCGCAGGGCATGTAAGACATACCTGTTTCGACAGGCTTTTAATGTCTGATATTACTGTTTTTAAATTGTTTTAAATTGCTTTTAAATTTTGTTAGATTTTAGCTAGTCTTGTAAGCCGCTCCGAGCCCCAGGGGAGTGGCGGCATATAAGTTTAAATAATAAATAAATAAATAAATAAATATGGGTACATTAAAATTCAGAACAGTAGCAAAATTACAGCTATAAAGTAGCAAGAAAAATAATGTTATGGTTGGGGGTCACCACAACATGAGGAACTGTATTAAGAGATCACGGCATTAAAGTTGAGAAACACTGGCTTAAATGTCACAAGGTCAAGGTCAAGTTTTTCCCCTGACATTAAGTCCAATCGTGTCCGACTTTGGGGGTCAGTGGTCATCTCCATTTCTAAGCCAAAGGGCCAGCATTGTCCACAGACACCTCCAAGGTCATGTGGTCAGCATGACTTCACAGAGCACTATTAGGAAAAACAAAAAGCAAACTCCACTCTTATTCCAAAGGATTCTTTTTTTATTATTATTAATAATTAATTAATTAATATTATTACTGAGGCAGGTTTTGTCCCACATACAACTTCAGTCTTGTGATTAAAGAGGACGAAAATAAAAAAGAGAAGACAGCGTTCAAATAAATAGACAATAAAAAGCTAACCGGGCGTTTCGTTTCTTTTTTTTTAAAAAAAAAAGGCAGGAGTGCTCTCAGTCTGGATAAATACAGCACAGAAATATGTATCGGGATCGAAAGGGGTGCAAAGGAAGGGAGGGGAATCGGACCGAAAGGTTTCGGAAAGTGGCTAGTGGTCAGCGGCAGATCGAAGGGGAAGGCGATGAGCGTCCGATCCGAGTTTTCACAAGCTCCCTCTCCGTTTACGTCCCTATTTGAGCTCCACTTTTGAGTACTTGGGTTTTGAAAAAAGGCCATGGCTCGTAGAAACTATCACACAGTGATAACGCGATCGCGGTTATTTCAACGCCAGCCCTTTTTTGGGTGCTTTTCTTGAGTTTTCGGTTTATTTTCAAATTGTACTATACACAGAATATACAACGGGAAAAGGAAAGAGAAGCTTGGCTTTCTGAAAAATCTGGGAGCGATGGCAACAAGGGGAGGATATAAAAGACGATTGAAGGAAACGTCCCACTGTTAGGCCACCTTCGGAAATCGAATCCTCGTCCAGATTTATCCTCGAACGGCAATGAACAAAAAGCCTTTCGCGGCTAAGAAGGATGTTCCGAAGGTGAGAAGGAAAAGGAGCGCCAGGGGGTCTTCCAGCCCCAATTTCAGATGGGTGGATTCAGCGCAAAAAGTGATGGAGAAGGAAGCTCTGCCATTTTGAAGATGGGAGGAAAAACGAGACCCTTCCCCAAACCGTTTTGACTTGGAAACGCCGCCCTCCGTTTCAAAGGCTTCGACGGCGCTCCGGCTAGTCCCAAAAAGATGCCGTCGCTGCCGAGTAAAGCCCAACGCAACGGGATCTTCCAGGCCGAATTTCAGAGGGGTGGATTCAGCGCAAAAGTGATGGAGAAGGAAGCTCTGCCATCTTGAAGGTGGGAGGCAAAACGAGACCCTTCCCCAAACCGTTTTGACCTGGAAATGCTGCCCTCTGTTTCAAAGGCTTCAACGTCACACCGGCTAGTCCCAAAAAGATGCCGTCGCTGCCGAGAAAAGCCCAACGCAAGGGGATCTTCCAGCCCGAATTTCAGATGGGCGGATTCAGCGCAAAAAGCAATGGAGAAGGAAGCTCTGCCATCCTGAAGGTGGGAGGCAAAACGAGACCCTTCCCCAAACCGTTTTGACTTGGAAACGCCGCCCTCTGTTTCAAAGGCTTCAACGGCGCTCCGGCTAGTCCCAAAAAGTTGCCGTCGCTGCCGAGAAAAGCCCAACTTCATCCCACATACGTAAGTGACCGTTCCCTTAACCATCCAATCTGCACAGGAGGATAAGCTGAAGTTCAACCCCGCCCGGCCAATCCAACACTTCTTTTCATTGTCTTCTCAAAATTTTAGTGTTTTTTTTTTTTTTGGTAAGGATTGCCAACTGCAGGGTTAAGTTACACCACAGATAAGAAAGGAAAAAAATAATATTAGAAAACATACATAATCAACCCGCCCACCCAAAAAATATCCACATATTTGAGGGGGGAAAGGAGCACCAAGCTCCAGACCCCTGGCTCTCGAGGGCCGCACACTTTGACGCATGAAGCCATTGCTTCAGACTTGAACCTTTTGAGAGAAATTCCTGTGAGAACCACATCGTTTAATTCAGTGTCCCAAAACTGCCCCAAACCCAGAATTCATGGCCAGCTCTGTTTGCTTTTCAGCTGGTTCTCTGTCCTTGGCTCCAGGAGAAAAGACGACATTTATTTATTGCTGAGATGGGGTTTTGCTGGACTCTGAACCAGTCCACCTTCTCCAAAGAGTTTGACCTATATTCCATCAGTGGATCGCGGAACTGGTGCGTTCCTAACCTTCAAGGTGTGATGAGAAGCAAGATCTGCAAATCCCAATCGAAGAGACAAACTGTGAACGGAAGGTGAGGGGATGCAGGATGTTATGGCTCCAAACTCTTCCTAATTTGTGCATTCCTAACCTCAAGGTGTGACCAGAAGCAAGATCTGCAAATCCCAATTGAAGAGACCAAACTGTGAACGGAAGGTGTGGATGTTATGGCTCCAAACTCTTCCTAATTCGTGAAGAATCAGCTCCACTTGGCTTAATGCTATTTCCCCCCAAAAATCCCAACTTTATGATTCCTAGACACGTTGAATAGGGAGTTATGGTCTCACCTGTCGCTCCTCAATGGCTCACCTGTTCACTGACCTATTGTTGCAGCCCCTTCCTTTGTTTTGTTTTCAAAATAAGGACAGACGTGGGGCAGAGGCCAAGGTAACGTATCTGGAAGCAAAGGGGTCAAAGGGGAGGTAACGACATCCCAAACACCCTCCAAGCTCTTTCCTCCTTTGCTGCAGAAGGGGAATGTTCGGTGCGGACATGCCTTGGGAGTCAAGGGGAGGGGGAAAAAGGAACGAGAAACTCCGGGGAGCACAAAGAAGGGGAGCAAGGGGACACTGAGCGGCGCTAAGATTGAGTCTCTCCTCCATCACAAGGAGTCAAAACGACGCTGGACTTTCTTCAGCCACAACGGATGAGCGCAAGAGCCCCCCAACGGGATGGGGAGCCGTCGCTCCAATTGCATTCGCTGTCCCTCATTTTGGCTTTGCGAAAGGAACACCACCGGGATCGAGAGACGGGAAAGAGTCCGTACGTATGGCTCTCTTTAATGTTCACTTTGGGGTGCTCGTAACAAAAAAACCTCCAAGGTTTGTGGATGTCAAAATGGAAAAGTTTGGGGGAGCTGCCCGAAGCCCTTTGCCATGTCACAGAGTCTCCGCTCCCTCCTCCTCCTCCTCCATCGACATCCCTCCAAACAATCCAGAGGACAAAAAAAGAAAAGAAATATTTCTTCCGCTCCCTGAGCTGGGAAATAATAAAAACCAGGCGACCTTGAAATGAGTGGAAAATATTTCAGTGCTGGTGAAGGTGAGCCCCAATGTCATCAGGGAAGCGGGCGGCTGCTTTTCCCCCCTCCTTTCCCCCGGTCGCGGAGACTCGGCCGCCACTGTCCAGCAGGGGTCAGTCCTGAGCAGGGGTCGAGATGGCAAGAGGCGCCCCGTGGCCAGGAGGAGGGTTGTTAGCACCACTGGCTGGGCCAGAGAAAGACGGAAGGGAGGAAGGGAGGGAGGGACAGAACAAAGGAGGAGGTCCTGGGGACACACCTGGCGGGAGACACAAGAGAGACCCTGTGGTGAAGAGGAGGGCCCTCGCTGGGCGGCTCCCTGCCCCACCCCCTAGGCGTGGCTTACCTGCAGGCCCCGCCCTTCCCTCATACGAAGACCTTGGCGAGGGCGTCGGCCCCGGCGCTGGCGATCAGGGCCTTGCTGGGGTGGAAGGCCACGTCGTGGATGGCCTCCTCGTGCTTCTTCCGGTGGGCGGTGATCTCCTGCGTGCAGGTCTTGTTGTCCAGGTTCCACAGCCGGAGGGAGCAGTCGTGGCCTGGAAGAGAGGAACCAAAGGGCAATGTGTTGGATGGGGTCGCACTCCCCCTGAAGACGCAGGTTCGCAGCTTGGGTGTGACCCTGGACTCATCGCTGAGCCTGGACCCCCAGCGCCCGTACCTTGGGAAGTCTGACTTGGCCACGGTAGTCCACACTCTGGTTACATCCCGTTTAGACTACTGCAACGCTCTCTACGTGGGGTTGCCTTTGAAGACAGCTCGGAAGCTCCAACTAGTCCAACGCTCGGCAGCCATGATTTTAACAGGAGCGGAGCGCAGGCACCAGCTCCACTGGCTGCCAATTTGCTACCGGGCTCAATTCAAGGTGCTGACGTTGGCCTATAAAGCCTTAAACGGTTCTGGCCCAAGCTACCTATCTAACTGCATCTCTGCCTATGAACCTACCAGGACTTTGAGATCTTCCGGGGAGGCCCTGCTCTCGATCCCGCCTGCTTCTCAAGCACGGCTGGTGGGGACGAGAGATAGGGCCTTCTCGGTGGTGGCTCCTCGGCTGTGGAACGCCCTTCCTACGGACATTAGACTAGCACCATCTCTAATGGTATTCCGCAAAAAAGTGAAGACCTGGCTGTTTGAGCAGGTGTTCGAATAATTAGTGCAATGATTGGTTAATGAACACTGGAATGGAACAATGGATGACGAATCTGGAACATGTTTTTGATGACGAGACGACAGTGAATGGGTATTGTAGTAACTGTTTATTAATTGTGTAATGTGTTAGGTTGTTAACTGTTTCTATACTGTAGCACTGAATTTTTGCTGTTCGTATTTGTTGTGAACCGCTGTGAGTCGCCTTCGGGCTGAGAACAGCGGTATATAAGTAAGGTAAATAAATAAATAAATAAATAAATGTAGTGCCACCAGAAAGCTCTAACCTACTGCCCTGGCCCTTTAAGGATCTGGGAGTTGGGTGGAGCTCAGCCTCGGCTCCTGCTGGCTTTGGAATGGCAGTTATTTGGTCAATTTAAGATTCGCCAGTTAGTGTTTAGCACTGGAAGGAAGCATAGGAAATTCACGTCACGTCAGGATTGTATTCATGTCACGTTGGAGCTATATATATAGTAGAGTAAAACAACACGTCACGTCGGAATTGTATTTAAGTTAGACCAAAGAACCACATAATACAGAGATATATAAAGTCATGTTGGAATTGTCTCAAAGTTGGTTTAAAGATACACAGAATCCAGTTACGTCAGGACTCTCTACTACAGTGTTTCTCAACCTGGGGGTCAGGACCCCTGGAGGGGTCGCGAGGGGGTGTCAGAGGGGTCGCCAAAGACCACCAGAAAACAGTATTTTCTGTTGGTCATGGGGGTTCTGTGTGGGAAGTTTGGCCCAATTCTATCATTGGTAGGGTTCAGAATGCTCTTTGATGGTAGGTGAACTATAAATCCCAGCAACTACAACTCCCAAATGTCAAGTCTATTTTCCCCAAACACCACCAGTGTTCACATTTGGGCATATTGAGTATTCATGCAGAGTTTGGTCCAGAGCCATCATTGTTTGAGTCCACAGTGCTTTCTGGATGTAGGTGAACTAAACTCCAAAACCACCAAACCCTTCCAGTATTTTCTGTTGGTCATAGGAGAACTGTGTGCCAAGTTTGGTTCAATTCCATCATTGGTGGGGTTCAGAATGCTCTTTGATTGGAGGTGAACTATAAATCCCAGCAACTACAATGTCACATACAATATATTATTAGCATAGCACAATATTAGTATTATATATTACTATATTGTACTATACCACTATACTGCAATATTATTAGTAATATTAAATGTAATATAAAAGACATTATTATTATGTTATTATATTGTATTATTATATTGTATTGCATTATAATATTATAACCAATATTACATGTACAGACAATATATTGTATTATTAGCATAGCACAATATGATTATCTATTACTATACTGCACTTTACTGCAATATTATTAGTAATATTACATGTAATATATATCTCATTATTATATTATATTGTATTATTAGTAGTATTATATTATATTGTATTGTACTATAATATTATAGATATTACATGTACATACAATATATTGTATTATTAGCATAGCACAATATTAGTATTATATATTACTACATTGTACTATACTGCAATATTATTAGTAGTATTACATGTAATATATACTATGCAATTATTAGATTGTATTATTAGTATTATATTGTATTACAATATTTTGATCAGTATTATATGTACATGCAATATATTATATTACTAGCATAGCATAATATTAGTATTGTATATTACTATATTGTACTATACCACTCTACTGCAATATTATTAGCAATATTACATGTAATAAATACAATTATTCTATTGTATTATATTGTATTACAATATTATGATCAGTATTATATGTACATACAATATATTATATTACTAGCATAGCATAATATTAGTATTGTATATTACTATATTGTACTATATCACTCTACTGCAATATTATTAGCAATATTACATGTAATAAATACAATTATTCTATTGTATTATATTGTATTACAATATTATGATCAGTATTATATGTACATACAATATATTATATTACTAGCATAGCATAATATTAGTATTGTATATTACTATATTGTACTATACCACTCTACTGCAATATTATTAGCAATATTACATGTAATAAATACAATTATTCTATTGTATTATATTGTATTACAATATTATGATCAGTATTATATGTACATACAATATATTATATTACTAGCATAGCATAATATTAGTATTGTATATTACTATATTGTACTATATCACTATATTGCAATAGCATTGATAATATTATAATATATAATAATATAATATATAATAATATTATATTATATTATATTATAATTATAATTATAATTATAATATACAATTATTATATTATTAACGTTTGCCCACATTTGCTGCAGTATATTACAAACAAGTTGCTCATTCATTCCTTGTCACAAAGGGTCAAACTGTATGTTCAAAAGGGCCAAGAGAGAGAACAATGCCAGGGAAATCTCTCTGGATATAAAGCCAAGAAGAGACAGGACTTCCTCCTTCCTCGGCGGCTTCTAAACAGAGGCTGGATGGCCATCTGTTGGGGATGCTTTGATTGTGCTGTTCCTGCATAACAGGGGGTTGAACTTGATGGCCCATGTGGTCTCTCTCAACTCTATTATTCTATGACTTACTTCCTGACATAAGGAAAACGCCGTTGGGATCCGCCGCAAGACAGGTGACGGCATCCAGGTGCGCCACCATGGAATGCACAGCTTTCCCTGCAGAAAAGAGGAAGGGATTATTTACTACGCATTTCAGAGCAAATGCAGGACGTCAGCATTTAAGGGAAACCGCACCGCTGAGATAGGAATCTTCTCAAGGAGCCAAAGAATGGTGTTTTAAATATCTCAAAAGGAGGTAGAAACAACAAACCTGCATTAACCCCTCTCAAGCTCTCTCCTACCTGTCCGATTGTCGAGGAAGCGGATCCCCCGGTCGTCGTGGGCCGTGATGGTGATTGGCTGGTTTGGGTGGCTCACCACTTGGTTGATCTGACTGGCTCCTGCCCGAGGGGAAAAGAAAGGGAGAATTTGAGCCTCATTTGAGTCTTTCCTTGGTGAAAAGAGCAAGGCAACCCATCAGAGAAGCTGTACCACAAATCTATACTTCGATTTGTATTTGGAAATACAAGGAAAAACAAGGAATTCTACACCCAGACTTTGGAAAAGACACTTTACAATGTATTGTCGAATTAGAACAGCACAACAACAGACAGGAAACAAACAAGGACATCTAATCCCCTCTCAACAAAAGATTGCGCCAGGCACTGCTAGGCAATCAAATGCTAATCAAGGTGGTCAGTTGAAACATTCACACCTAGCTCCAGCAGACAAGAGTCCCTTGTTTCACCCTAGTCATTCCACAGATATATAAACCCTTTTGCCTACTTCCAACAGATCTCACTACCTCTGAGGATGCTTGCCATAGATGCAGGCGAAACGTCAGGAGAGAATGCCTCTAGACCATGGCCGTATAGCCCGAAAAGACTTACAACAACACACTTTACAATGCTCAAGCAATATTTTTTTGTGTGTCAGGAGTGACTTCAGAAACTGCAAGTCGCTTCTGGTGTGATAGAATCGGCCGTCTGCAAGGACGTTGCCTAGGGGACACCCAGATGTTTTACCATCCCGTGCGAGGCTTCTCTCATGTCCCTGTGTGAGAAGCTGGAACTGACAGATGGGAGCTCACCCCGCACCCTGGATTCAAACCGCCGACCTTCAGGTCATTGGTCCTGCCCGGCATAAGGGTTTAACCCATTGCATCACCGGGGGCTCCACTCAAGCAATACGGTCAATAATGGCACTGGTTGAGGATTCTGGCAGCGATATTGACAAGCTGGAATGTGTCCAGAGGAGGGTGACTAAAATGATCAAGGGTCTGGAGAACAAGCCCTATGAGGAGCAGCTTAAAGAGCTGGGGATGTTTAGCCTGCAGAAGAGAAGGCTGAGGAGATATGATAGCCATGTATAAATATGTGAGGGGAAGTCACAGAGAGGAGGGAGCAAGCTTGTTTTCTGCTTCCATGGAGACTAGACACAATGGAGCAATGGCTTCAAACTACAGGAAAGGAAATTCCACCTGAACATGAGGAAGAACTTCCTGACTGTGGGAGCTGTTCAGCAGTGGAACTCTCAGCCACAGGAAAGGAGATTCCACCTGAATATTAGGAAGAACTTCTTGACTGTGAGAGCGGTTCAGCAGTGGAACTCTCAGCCACAGGAAAGGAGATTCTATCTAAACATAAGGAAGAACTTCCTGACTGTGGGAGCTGTTCAGCAGTGGAACTCTCAGCTACAGAAAAGGAGATTCCACCTGAACATGAGGAAGAACTTCCTGACTGTGGGAGCCGTTCAGCAGTGGAACTCTCAGCTACAGCAAAGCAGATTCCACCTGAACATGAGGAAGAACTGTGTGGTGGAGGTTCCTTCTATGGAGGCTTTTAAACAGAGGGTGGATGGCCATCTGTTGGGGGTGCTTTAAATGCGATTTTCCTGCTTCTTAGCAGAATGGGGTTGGACTGGATGGTCTCTTCCAACATGAGGTCTCTTCCAACTCTAGGATTCTATATCCAAAAGCTAACTTTTGTCATTCATGGCACAAAATATTTTTTGGAATAGTTATAAAGGGATACTCTTGATTAACTAATCACATGTCAATGTCAAACTAAGCTTCAATAACCTCCTGAAACTCTGCTTACAGCTAAAACCACTTGCACCAACTAAACATAAAGGGAGCATCTCTCTGCTGCAGAAGTATTGTTTTAAGGCAAGGAGGGCAATGTGACAGACTTAAGGAGACACATTAGCCCACCCCAGGGGGTCCTGGAGTGCGGTGTAAAAAAAAAATTGCCCCTAAATACTCTCTAGGGAACAAGGGGCATTTTCATCATTTATTTTAAGCCCTCCCCGTGTCGTTTTAGGCCCAAAAGAGGACTTTTTTAAACAACAGGATGTGAGAAGAAGTCACATCCTGTTTGCTTCCTGTTTCAAAAGAGGGCCTCCCCTCTCCAAAACTGGCCCAGATGGGGCTGAAAACATCTCACACACATTCCAGGAGGCAACCTCATCAGAACGATATGATATAATATAATAATGATAATAATGTAATGCAATATTATTATAATATTATAATGTAATGCAATATAATAATACATGATATTATAATTATATATTTATATTACATGTAATATTACTAATAATATTACGATATAGTGGTATGGTGCAATATAGCAATGTTTAATGCTGATATTGTACTATGCTAATAATATAATATATTGTATGTAATATATATCTTATAAGCCACACTGAGTCCCCTTCAGGGTGAGAAGGGCGGCATATAAATGTCACAAACAAATAAATAAATAAATAAATAAATAAATAAATAAATAAATAAACAAACGATCATGGCTCTGCCTTGTGGAATCCTGGGATGTGTAGTTTGCTGGGAAGCTTAGAACCCTCTGTGTGATGGCTCTAATGCTGCAGTTCACAAAGAGTGGAACTCTGCAAGTGCTAGGCTTCTGCAGGAGGGAGCCATGGAATTTAAAGTGGGATTAAACTACTGAATCTCTATAGTGAAGATGTAGAGGTACACCACCTGTTTACACTACCTCTCTTCTTTTAGCAGCTGCATCTCATAAAGAAAAGACACCACCCTTGGGAGTGGCTGAGCATGGGATGTAATAGTAGTAAAAAGGTAAAGGTTTCCCATTGACATTAAGTCCAGTCTGGGGTGTGGTGCTCATCACCATTTCTAAGCCAAAGAGCTTAATATAGAAATATATTAATATATAAATGCCAAGGTCATGTGGCCAGCATGACTGCATGTAGCGCCGTTACCTTCCCGCAGAAGCAGTATTTATTTGTTTATTTATTTATTTACCACATTTATATACCGCCCCTCTCAGCCCAGAGGTACTCGTAGCAGTTCACAATTGGCAACAATTTGATACCTCAACAATTATAACAAATAAAACAATCATAAAACACCATTAAAAACATTAGCGTGCAATATAAGAATATAAAAAAACGTACAAAGCCTTAAAAACATTATCGTGAGCGTCTCCGTGTCGGTACCTATTGATCTATTCACAGTTGCATGTTTTCGAACTGCTAGGTTGGCAGAAACTGGGGCTAACAGAGGGAGCTTATAGAATATGGCCATATAGCCTGAAAAACCTACAACAACCCAGACAAGAGTTCTTTCTCCCACCCTGGACATCATTCCACAGGTATATAAACCCCACTTGCCTAGTTTCCAACAGTCTCACAATCTCTGGGATGCCTGCCACAGATGCAGGCGAAACGTCAGGAGAGACAGTAGTTCTCAACCTGTTGGTCCCAGATGTTTTGGCCTTCAACTCCCAGAAATCCTAACAGCTGGTAAACTGGCTGGGATTTCTGGGAGTTGTAGGTCAAAACATCTGGGGATCCACAGGTTGAGAACCACTGCTCTAAAATAAGTTGTAACATCTTAGAGGGGTATGAGGGAGCAGTCAGAATTTTTTAAAAAAACATTCCTAGTTTCCAACAGTCTCACAATCTCTGGGATGCCTGCCACAGATGCAGGTGAAACGTCAGGAGAGAATGCTTCTGGAACATAACCATACAGAATGGAAAACTCACAGCAACTCTATATAAGTTCTGGCTTGAAGTTCATTCCTGTTTTAAGGATTTTTTTTAAATTGTCCCATGAATATGTTTCCAGGATTTTTTTGGCCTTTGTACAGGTTTACCTGCTTCTCCTTGTACTAAATCAGTCCTAGAAATGCAGGCATTGGCCCCACGGCTCGCTTGATCCCTGCTTGGACTCACCATTGGCCGGTCTGGATTCCAGTGTCAGGACCGGGACGGAGGTCTCCACGTCATAAAGGACTGCAAAGCCTGTCTGGAAAGCGGCCACGGCGTGCGCTGGATCAGTACTGGAGAATGTGACGGATGTAGGGATGCCATTCTCTACAGGAGGAGGAAGAGGAAGGAGGTATTCATTTACTATAATATTACTAATAATAATATGATATTATAATTACATATTTTATATTACATGTAATATTACTCATAATATTACAATATAATGGTATAGTACAATATAGTAATATATAATACTGATATTGTACTATGCTAATAATATAACATTACACTTAATCAAAGGACTACGTAAAAAACATACTAACTGGGACCTGGTAAAAGGCTATTTAAAACAGATGAAGATCGACCTCATATGTTGAAGTTACTCAATCCTTAGAGAAGAAGTAGACAGAGGGGAAGTGGATTAAACAAAACGTAATTCCAAATAATTTTTTAAGGACCATCGGAAGTAAGAAGGAAGTCAACAAACACTTTTTTATATACCCATTTGTAATTATTTTTATTTATTTATTTTACCATTTTTCTATTTTCCTACTTTCTATACAAATACATGTTTTCCCACTTTCAATCTATAATCTATTTTTTCTCTCTCTTTCTTTATCTTAATGCTTTATACTCAATATGACAAAACTTTAATAAAAATATTTATAAATAATAATATAATATATTGTATGTAATATATACCTTGTAAGCCGCCCTGAGTCCCCTTCAGGGTGAGAAGGGCGGCATATAAATGTTGTAAATAAACAATAAATCTTATAATAAATGTAATGTAGTTTGTGGGATTAACATAACTCAAAAACCACTGACAATTGACACCAAATTTGGACACATACACCTATCAGGCCAACGAGTGACCATCACTCATAAAAACACTTAAAAACACAGCAGAAGGGGGTTCAAAAGCCAAAAACCACATTACAATACATGCGCAAAACCACATACTGTATATACTCGAGTATAAGCCTAGTTTCTCAGCCCCTTTTTTAGGCTGAAAAAGCTCCCCTCGGCTTATACTCGAGTCAAGGTTATTTATTATTTTACTCTGTTATTAGTATTATTTTTATTTCATGTATTATTTTACTCTCTTTTATTATTACATTTACAGTATTTTACCCTATTATTATTATTACATTTATTATTTTACACTATTTATGATTATTATTACATTTATTATTTTACTTTATTATTATTGCATTTATTATTTTACTCTATTATTACATTTATTATTCTACTCTATTATTACTATTATTATTGCATTTCCATTATTTTACTTTATTATTATTATATTTATTATTTTACTCTCTTTATTATTGTTGGAAGGATACGTAAATACATTTACTTTGAAGATATGTAATGATTTAATCAGAGTTGGGCAGTCTTATCTCAAATTACAGTTTTATGTAAATATTAAAAAAAACATTTCACCTCCTGATGCCTCAATTAATGTAATTTTATTGGTATCTATTTTTATTTTGAAATTTACCTGTAGTGGCTGCATTTCCCACCCTCGGCTTATACTTGAGTCAATATGTTTTCCAGTTTTTTGGTGGTAAAATTAGATGCCTCGGCTTATATTTGGATCGGCTTATACTCGAGTATATATGGTACTGTATATACACAAACACACACTTATATACACAAAAAACACATATACACAGACTGGGCCACAGCAACGCATGGCAGAGGACGGCTGTTGTTGTTCATTCTTTCAGTCGTCTCCGACTCTTTGTGACCTCATGGACCAGCCCACGCCAGAGCTCCCTGTCGGCTGTCACCACCCCCAGCTCCTTCAAGGTCAAGCCAGTCACTTCAAGGATGCCATCCATCCATCTTGCCCTTGGTCGGCCCCTCTTCCTTTTGCCTTCCACTTTCCCCAGCATAATTGTCTTCTCTAGGCTTTGCTGTCTCCTCATGATGTGGCCAAAGTACTTCAGCTTTGTCTCTAGTATCCTTCCCTCCAATGAGCAGTCCGGGCTTTATTTCCTGGAGGATGGACTGGTTGGATCTTCTCGCAGTCCAAGGCACTCTCAGAACTTTCCTCCAACACCACAGCTCAAAAGCATCGATCTTTCTTCGCTCAGCCTTCCCTAAGGTCCAGCTCTCACATCCGTAGGTGACTACAGGGAATACCATGGCTTTGACTAGGTGGATCTTTGTTGCCAGTCTGATGTCTCTACTCTTTACTATTTTATCGAGACTGGACATTGCTCTCCTCCCAAGAAGGAAGCGTCTTCTGATTTCCTGGCCACAGTCTGCATCTGCAGTAATCTTTGCACCTAGAAATACAAAGTCTGTCACGGCCTCCACATTTTCTCCCTCTATTTTCCAGTTATCAATCATTCTTGTTGCCATAATCTTGGTTTTTTTGATGTTTAGCTGCAACCCAGCTTTTGCGCTTTCTTCTTTCACCTTGATTAGAAGGCTCCCCAGCTCCTCCTCGGTTTTGTGCCATCAGAGTGGTGTCATCTGCATATCTGAGGTTGTTAATGTTTCTTCCAGCCATTTTCACCCCAGCTTTGCATTCCTCAAGCCCCGCACATCGCATGATGTGTTCTGCATACAAGTTGAAAAGGTTGGGTGAGAGTATGCAGCCTTGCCGTACGCCTTTCCCAATCTTGAACCAGTCTGTTGTTCCGTGGTCAGTTCTGACTGTTGCTACTTGGTCCTTGTACAGATTCCTCAGGAGAGAGGGAAGGGGGCTTGGTATGCCCATCCCACCAAGAACTTGCCACAATTTATTATGATCCACAGTCAAAGTATATATATACTCGAGTATATACAGTACTGTATATACACAAACACACATTTATATACACAAAAAACACATATACACAGACTGGGCCACAGCAACACATGGCAGAGGACGGCTAGTTAATAATAATAGATCATGCATGGGAAAATTTTGTCCCTTCAGGTGTTTTGGACTTCAACTCCTACAACTCCTAACAGCGGATGTGGCCCTCAATGAAAACGCATTTTGAGACAATAACAACACAAGGGCTCCCCCTACTGTTCGGATTTGGCACAGTTCAAAGGTTGCTTTCTACACCTACTTCCTTCTGGCAACAACTGTCACGCAACCTTTATTGATTTGCTACTGTCACCGTGATTCCCGTTTCTGGAACGGGGAAGCTGAGCTTGAGAGGAAGAAGAGCTTCATGCAAATATCGAACGACATGCGCAGAGATTGGAGAAGGTTACGGAACGGTCAGGTCTTGGACCCTGCTCCCGGAAGGCCAGGAAGTAGTGCTGGCTTTTGCCCACGTTTGGCTGATGTGCCAGCAATGAATGCAGGCTTGGCCGCAGTGGACCCTCCCTTAATTGCCTCTGGATGAGACTATTGCTATGACCTACACAATCCTAAATAGCTTGGGGCTAGATTACTGGAAAGATTGCCTCTTTCTCAAATGAACCTGCCTGGCATCTGTGGTTTGTACAGGAAGTAAGTTCCATCGCAATTCGGCTCACAACAGATAGACAGGACTATACTCCTTCGCATGGCCTCTGAATTGATTGTTTTAATCAATTATTTTGAGTTGTTTTTAAGGAAGGTTTTTGTTGTTCAGAAGTCGTAGTTAAACAATTTCTCAAGTAACCCAGAGTCTCTTTTTTAGAGAGATAAAGCGGGATACAAATAATAATAATACTAATAATAATTACTGTATTTACTCGAGTATAAGCTGACCCAAATATAAGCAGAGGCACTTAATTTTACCACAAATAAACTGGGAAAGCATATTGACTTGAGTGTAAGCAGAGGGTGGGAAAAGCAGTAGCTACTGGTAAATTTCAAAATAAAAACAGATACTAATAAAATGACATTAATTGAGGTATCGGTAGGTTAAATATGTTTGAATGTTTACATAAAACTGTAATTTAAGAATTTAAGACTGTCAACTCTGATTAAACCATTGTTCTAACCTTCTTCAATGTAAATATGCCTATGTATCCTTCTAATAATGAGTAAAATAATAAATGTAATAACAATAGAGTAAAATAATAGAAATGTAATAATAACAGTAATTATAGAGTAAAAGAAGAGTAAAACAATAAATGTAATAAAATAATAATAGAGTAAAATAATAGAAATGTAATAATAACAGTAATTATAGAGTAAAAGAAGAGTAAAATAATAAATGTAATAAAAATAATAATAGAGTAAAATAATAGAAATGTAATAACAGTAATAATAGAGTAAAAAAGAGTAAAATAATAAATGTAATTAAAATAATAATAGAGTAAAATAATGGAAATGTAATAATAACAGTAATACTAGAGTAAAAAAGAGTAAAATAATAAATGTAATAAAATAATAATAGAGTAAAATAATAGAAATGTAATAACAGTAATAATAGAGTAAAAAAGAGAAAAAAATAAATGTAATAAAAACAATAATAGAGTAAAATAATAGAAATGTAATAATAACAGTAATACTAGAGTAAAAAAGAGTAAAATAATAAATGTAATAAAATAATAATAGAGTAAAATAATGGAAATGTAATAATAACAGTAATAATAAAGTAAAAAAGAGTAAAATAATAAATGTAATAAAATAATAGAGTAAAATAATGGAAATGTAATAATAACAGTAATAATAGAGTAAAATAATAAATATAATAATAATAATAGAATAAAAGAATGGGAATGTAATAACAATAAATAGAGTAAAATAATAAATGTAATAACAACACTAATAGACTAAAATAATAATTGCAATAACAATATTAATAAAGTAAATTAATAAATGTAGTAATGATAGAGTAAAATAACAAATGTAATAATAATAGAGTAAAAGAATGAGAATGTAATAACAACAATAAATAGAGAAAAAAATAAATGTCATAACAATAATAGACTAAAATAATAAATGTAATAACAATAGACTAAAAATAAATGTAATAACAATAATAATAAAGTAAATTAATAAATGTAATAATTATAATAAAGTAAATTAATAAATGTAATAATAATAAGAGTAAAATAATGTAAATGTAATAATAATAATAACAAAAACACTTAGAGTAAAAGAATAAATAAGCTTGACTCGAGTATAAACCGAGGGGGGCTTTTTCAGTCTTAAAAAGGGCCAAAAAACTTGGTTTATACTCAAGTATATATGGCATTATTATTAAGACAACCCCCTAAATCAGAAGGGTTTCTCTTCCACAAGGAATACTCAGAGTGGCTTGCTATTGCCTTGCCCTAAAATGCAGATTCTTTGGAATTCATTGGTGGTCCCCACACAAAGAATAACCCACCCTAATCCTGCTTTGCTTATATCAGATGGGATATTTTGCATTTAGGGAACATTTAGAAGTTCTGACAATAAAAAAGTTAAAACAGTTTTCAGCTCCAAGTCAGGAGACTCTGAGAACGTAATTTTTTTATGCACTGAACATTCAAACCCCGGCAGCCTCGTTGAAGGTGCTACTCACCACTCTCCGTGTTGTAAGTGCTGAGGCAGGGGGCATCGCTGCTGCTGGGGTCCCATATCCTGACCGTTCCGTCGGCAGAGCAGGAGGCCAGGCGGTTCTTCGAGGGGCTGAAGGCCAGGCCCCAAACAGCATCCGTGTGGCCGTCCAGAACATTGCTAAGCATGCTGGGGTCTGTGTACAGGAAGGAAAAGAAAAGAAAACGAAGGGAAGGGAAAAGGGAAGTTAACATCACTGGTCCACCATTAAGCTCAATGAAGGAGGCAAAAGTTGACACTTCTGCAAGTAGTTGACATTAGTACAATGATACCTCGACTTGAGTTTGTTACTGGACTGAGTTATTAACTCAAAATGCCCTTATATTTCAAATTTTCCCACTGAAATACTATTCTAACCTTCTTCAATGTAAATGTGCTTATGTATCCTTCCAATAATAAATAGTAAAATAATAAATGTAATAATAATAATAGGGTAAAATATTAGAAATATAATAATAATAGCAATAATAAGAGTAAAATAATACATGTAATAATAATAGAAAACTCATGACTATTCATAATTCATTGCATTCTATCTGCCTAGAAAGTCTGGTGACAGAGGACTTTTACAAGTCAAACAAGCAGTTAAAGAAGGAAAACATGCCCTGGCAGACTATGTCAAGGAAAGCCAAAAACCTGCTTTAACTGAAGTCAATAATCGGAAACTTCTCAAAGCACAGCAGACAAAGAGTCAGTACAAGAAAACTGCACTCCAGGCCAGAGCTGACAGCTGGCACAATAAAGCCTTGCATGGCAGTTCCTTGACAAAATTAAAGGAAAAGTTGACAAGAAGACCAGGTTATGGTTCACGAATGGAACCCTGAAGGAGACAGAAGGCCTGATTCTTGCAGCCCAGGAGGAAGCCATCAGAACCAATGCAATTAAGGCCAGGATCGAAAAATCAGCAGATGACCCAAAATGCAGACTGTGCAAGGAAGCTGATGAAACCATGGACCATCTCCTCAGCTGTTGCAGGAAAATCGCACAGACCGACTACAAACAGAGGCACAACTCTGTGGCCCAGATGATTCACTGGAACTTATGTTACAAGGACCACCTGCCAGCAGTAAAGAATTGGTGGGATCGTAAACCCACAAAGGTCGTGGAAAATGAACACGCAAAAATACTGTGGGACTTTTGTATCCAGACTGGCTAAGTTTTGGAACACAACACACCAGTTATCACGATTGTGGAAAAGAAAAAAGTCTGGATTATTGATGTCGCCATTCCAGGTGACAGTCACATTGAGGAAAAACAACAGGAAAAACTCAGCCACTATCAAGACCTCAAAATCGAACTGCAAAGGCTCTGGCATCAACCAGTCCAGGTGGTCCCAGTGGTTGTCGGCACACTGGGTGCCATTCCAAAAGATCTCAGCCGGCATTTGGAAACAATAAACATCAACAAAATCATGATCTGTCAACTGCAAAAGGCTACCTGACTTGGATCTGCGCACATCATTCGAAAATACATCACACAGTCTTAGACGCTTGGGAAGTGTTCGACTTGTGATTTTGTGATAAGAAATCCAGCATAGAGATCTTGTTTGGTGTGACATACTGTGCGTTTGTGACAATAACAAAGTAAAATAATAAATAACCTTAATTCAACTATAAGCTGTGTGGGCTTTTTCAGCTTAAAAAGAACTGAAAAACTCGACATATACTCGAGTATATATGGTAATTCAATGTGACAGGCTGGTGGACTTCCTTCTCTCTGCCCCTATTTCTCCATGTGTCAGGACCTGATGCCCTATTTGTACTTCATGATTACAACTGTTTCTTTCTTTTTCTCAAAATGTCACTTGTAGATCAAGACCAGTTTACGAACCACCACTTTTGAACAGCTCCATCTTAACAGCATCATGTTTAAATAGTCTTGCACTGCAATATCAGACCCCAAAACACCATAATCTATTCATGATTATGGTTATGTTACATATTCATGCCCAGCCTTTCAAATAGAGCTCTTCCCAAGTTAGGCTAACATCAAAATGACATCTAAAATCCATTATTTAAGACAGAAGTGAAAACTATTATTGATTGATCGATTTAGCAAATGAGTTACACTATTTGGCAAAGCTGTTCTGAGGAGGTTTGCCTTTTTGCATTCCTCTAAAGCTCTCAGCCACATTAACACTCCAGGATAGGCCTGGGCAAACTTTGTCCCTCCAGGTGTTTTGGACTTCAAGTCCCACCATTCCTAACAGACTACCTGCTTTTGGAATTGTGAGAATTGAAGTCCAAAACACCTGGAGGGCCCAAGAGGGACAAAGTTTGCTTATGTCTGAGCTAGAGTCACAAACAGTTGGGAGGAGCAAAAGCTCGACACGACTGACATACATCTTGCTGCCTCCCCTGCCATCTGGCTTCGATTCTCAACATGCAACACATGTCCCTTGCTTCGTTTCTCTCCCACTCCAGATCAAAGAATGCAAGAGGGTGAGATGCTGCTGAGATAAGTGCCCCTACCGTAACCGTCGTAAGGGTCCATGCTGAGATCCGGGATCCTCCAGCAGCGGATCCGCGTGTCCAGCCCGCCGCTGTAGCAGTACTCGCTGTTGCAACCCATGGCGACAGCAAGCACTGGGCCCCTGGCAGGAAACAACAAGGAAAAGGCTCTAAGGCTCTTTGAAAAGCAGGGATCCTCTCTTACCACAGGTTTTGGACAATCCTGGGATTAGGGGTAGGAAAGAGAGGAAGGAAGGAAGGATGAAAGAGGGAAGGGGAAGGGGAAAGGAAAGAGAGAAGGAAGGAAGAATAGGATGGTGAGAGAGAGGGGGGCCTGAGAAAAGAACCCAAGGGGCCGCATCCGCCCCCCAGCCCTGGGCCTGTGTTTGCTTTTACATGGTCTACACCAAGCAAGGGTAAACTTTGGTCCTGCAGGTGTTTTGGGCTTCAACTCTCAAGAAGGATATTGACAAGCCAGAGAAGAGCGACCAAAATGATCAAAGGTCTAGAAGCCAAGCCCTATGGGAAGCAGCAACGAAGCTGGTTTTTCTTTCTTTGCTTGAAGAAGACAAGGTTGAGAGGGGACATGATGTCCATGTTTAATTATCTGAATGGACGTCATGTTGAGGAAGGAGCTTGTTTTCTGTAGCTCCTGGGCCCTTCCACACAGCCCTATATCCCAGGATATCAAGGCAGAAAATCACACAATATATGAGTGTGGACTCAGATAACCCAAGGGCCCTTCCCCACAGCCCTATATCCCAGGTTCTCAAGGCAGAAAATCACACAATATCTGATTTGAACTGCGTTATCTGAATCCACACTCCAATATTTTGGGATGTTCTGCCTTGATATTCTGGAATATAGGGCTGTGGGGAAGGGCCCCTAGACACTATGACATGAAGTAATGGATTCAAGCTCAAGGAAAAGATCTCACCTAAACATGACGATGCATTTCCTGACAGTATGTATTTGACAACATAATACATTGCCCTGGAGTGTAGTGAGGTCCTCTTCTCTGGACGTTTTTAGGAAGAGTCTAGATGGTCATCTATCAAAAGTGTTTGGCAGGGGTTTGGACTGGAAAGTTCTTGTGGTCTCCTCCAACTCTATGATTCTATAAAGAATTTGACAGGAAAAGTGGCACTTGGTGTGATCCAGGGATTCTATCCTTCTTAAGTCTAAATTACTCCCTGTAAAAGAGAAGATGTTCTGCAATGCTGTCCTGTTATTAACAGTGTGACACAGTCTCTGAGGGAGATGAGCATTCTTTTCATATGAATCTAAGAGCACACTGAGGTGTTCCTAGGATAACTAACTGTCACTGGTTGTTGTCCAGTTAAAAGAGACGACAACGAGAAAAAGAAAACATATAATATCACTTCAATCTCAAACCTACAGTACCAATCTCTCTCTCTCTCTCTCTCTCTCTCTCTATATATATATATATATATAAATGTAATGTTCATTTGTGGGATTAACATAACTCAAAAACTACTGGACGAATTGACACCAAATTTGGACAAATACACCAATCAGGCCAACGAGTGACCATCATTTATAAAAACTCTGAAAAACACAGCAGAAGAGACTTAAAAAGCCAAAATACACATGCACAAAACCACACACACACACACACACACATACCCAAACACACACATACACACACAAAACACATATACACAGACTGGGCTGTAGCAACATATGGCAGGGGACAGCTAGTCTATATATAAAAATGTAATGTTCGTTTGTGGGAGAAACATAACTCAGAAACCACTGGATGAATTGACACAAACTTTTGACACAATACAGCTAACAGTCCAACCAGTATCCATCACCCCTAAAAACACACAAACCAGCAGAACAGAATTTAAAACCCCCCAAAATAAACCATATTTACATATACACATACACTCATATACATGCACACATACATACATACATACACAGAGACACACACATATAGGCAAGCATACACAAATATAAACACACACATATATAAACACACATACATGCATATAGACAAGCACACACATATACACAATATACACATAGAAATACCAAGTATATACACATATATACACACATACACACATATACATGTATGCACAAATATATGTCTTCATCTTTTGCCTCCCAGTTTGTGAATGGTTGCCGTTGCCCAGAGCGGCATTCTAATCCCGCCTTCTGGCAATGATGGAGTGTGGAAGGAGGTTTCACCCTTCCCCTCGGGAGAGAGGCAGCCAATCTAGAGAGATTGAAAAGCAAAGCAGAGATAGCTAGCAAAAAAAGAAGTTTGCGGTGCCTTTAAATCTCTCCTCCCTTCTGCCTCACTCTCGGAACGCTTCTAGACATATAGCATCCCTACTTCGCGAATTATCACTTTTCGCGGGTGGTCCTGGAACGTAACACCCACGATAAGTGAGGGAACACTGTAGTTGTGTTTCATCGACTGGTGTTGAGGTGAAGGTTAGAGATGAGCATCCTCATTCCGTTCCCTCCAAGTGTGAAGTTTGCACTGTAATACGCTACCAATCTTGCACCCAGTGACTACCATCTGTTCACTAAACTGAAGGAACACCTTGGTGGAAAACACTTTTTCAATGATGACAAAGTGAAAATCCAAGGGACATTAAAACACTGCATATATAGATGTATAGATATATAGATATAGATATATAGAAGATAGATAGATAGATAGATAGATAGATAGATAGATAGACAGATAGATAGAGATATTTTTAGACATAGATGTATTAGAGAGTGAAAAAGAAAAACAATACAACTTTGTTGGCCAGGATTTTTTAAAATTTTTAAATCGTGTAAGCTTTTCCAGTTGCTTCTCTTCAATCCTGCTATCACCTGGGATTGCAACATCTATGATTCATACTTGTTTTTTCCCCCCATGATTATGCGGTCAGGAGTATTGTGCTCCAAATCTCTCTCAGTCTGAATTTGGAAGTCCCAGAGTAGTTTGATATTTTCATTTCTTGTAACTTTTTAGGCTCTGTGGAAGTGAGTGAAGGTACTGCAAATCCCATCATCCAGGGCACATACCATCCCAAACCACACCAGGTTGTAAAATGGGTCTTTGCGGGGGGGGGGGGGGGGGGGGCGTGTGCCAAGTTTGGTCCTGATCTGTCATTTGTGTGTGTGTGTGTGGGAGGGGGGGCAAAGCGAGGGAAAGTACTGCAAATCCTATCATCCGTGGTCCATCCTTCCCTAAACAGCACCAGGAAATAAAGTTGGGGTTATGTGTGCCAAGTTTGGTCCACGTTTCATATTTGTACCCTGTGGAAGTGGGAGCCAATCAGAAAGCAATGACATACATACAAACAGAATACATTAAAACACTGAATATATAGATGAATAGATATATAGATATAGCTATATAGAATATAGATAGATAGATAGATAGATAGATAGATAGATAGATAGATAGATAGAGGTATTTTTAGATATAGATGTATTAGAGAGTGAAAAAGAAAAACAATACAACTTTGTTGGCCAGGATTTCTTTTAATGTTTAAAATAATTTTTATTGAGGACAGCAAGATTAATTTAACATTTCGATAAAAATTCAATTAACATAAAAGTAAAGATGAAAAAAGAGAAAAAGAAAAAAGAAGTTAAAAAGGGGGGGGGGGAGAAAAAACCCCCCAGTGTGGAGTAATAAAAAATGACAAAAGATTTATGTCTTTCACTTCCATCTACTTCTTGGTTTTCATTGTTTTGTGTTCTGTTTACATTGTAAGCTGTCAATATATGTGAATCAAATTTATATTAAAAATGCCTCTTGGGTGAGTAGGTGCACCATCTCATAATGGCTGCTGAACTTCCTGGGCCTACTTTGACCTTAAAAGGTATGCAATTGATGACATGGTGCCCGTAAAGGTCATGTGATGAATTGCATACCTTTTAGGTGAGAGGTATGCAAATCTCCTGATAGTCCCACTCAGGCCCATTGTACGCATCACAATACCCCCAATACCCCCTGAATGTATTTAAACCCTGGCCAGCCCTGGCCTCGTTGCAGACATTTCTTCGCTGCTCCCACGACGTACAGATCTTTGCTGCTCCTACGACATCCTTGAGAGAGACGACGATGAAGAAGACGACGAAGACCAAGAAGACACCTAGACCCAGAGACTCCTGGGTCTGGGCAGAAGACCCATTGAGGTTACCCTCAATACCTTCCCTCTTGGGCCCTGACAAGGTCTCAGAGGTCATTCAGGTCTCACAGGGAAGGCCATCCAATACCACTACGGTGGAAGACCTGGCAGGTCCTTCCAAGAAGCTGAGGCGTCCTGTGTGGCAACTCACAGAGAAAAAGGAAGAAGAAGCCAAAATGCTTCGGGCGCAAATCCTAGCCCGCCAAGCTGAAGAGAAAGAGAAACGGGCAAGAGAAGCCCGAGAGAAAGCCCAAGCTAAACAAAAATGGAAAGAGCTCCACCTTTTGGATTACTGGCAAAGGAAAAAGCTAGAAAACAAGGAGACCGAGGAGCAGCGGAGGAGAAGAATGAGAGAGAAGGAGCTGGCGGCGGCAGAAGATCTTGAGCGGGAAGGGATTCGGATGCTGTTTACGGGGTCCGATTGGGTACGAACACCCTGTGAGGAGGGGGATCCCTTCCTGCTCAACAAGAGCCCGGAGAATCCGCCACAAAGCCGCCAGCCCTACTATTTAATCTCTGCTGCTCCGAAGGCCTCCCTCAAACTCCCTCCGATAGATCAAGGCAGTAGCCGCCAATGGCCACGACCACCACCTAAAGAACTAAAGAAATAAATATTTTTTAAACATTTTGTTATGGTCCAAAGACTCTTATTTCATTGTAGGCGTACAAAGTTTGCGGGTAATGGGATTAAGAACATCCAACCGAACTAGAAAGAACTGGAATACAAACAAGTTAAATATCTTGGAATCATTTTGACAGCAAAAAATTCCCAATTATTGAAAAACAATTATGATATTGAATGGAATTAGAAAACTGGAGATAGTGATAAATTCAAATATGTCCAGTTTTCTATATCTTTTTTCTTTATCTATTTCCATTTCCAAGAATTGCGGCCATTAAGATGAACATCCTTCCTAAAATGTTATACTTATTCCAAAATCTGCCGATAATTAAAACTACCAAATTTTCAAACCTTGGAATAAAGACTTGACAAAATGTATATGGATGGGAAAAAAACTTAACTGACGATAAACAAGAGGGGGATTTGGCTTGCCAGCTCTAAAACTATACTATGAAGCAGGAGGCTTGACATGAATAAAAGACTGGGTCACTCTGAAGAATATCAAAATAATTAATTTAGAAGGCTTTGACTTAAGAGTAGGATGGCACTCATATTTATGGTACCAAAAGAAAAAGACAGATGAAAACTTTGGAAACCACTTTATCAGATCAGGTCTTATAAAAATATTGGACACTCAAACTCAAAGATTGGGAGAAAATGTGGAACAAAAAATAAAATATACATATGCCTTTGATTTAAAAGAAAATTAGCTAAAAATGATGAGCAGGTGGTACATCACACCTCAGAAATTGGCTAAATGTTATTCGAAAGTGAATGACAAATGTTGGAAATGCAAAGAGCAAACGGGTTCAGTTTTTCATATGTGGTGGACTTGTAAAATTGCCAGGTTGGAAGAATATACACAAAAAATAGAAAAGATACTGGACATGAAAATAGAATTAAAACCAGAATATTTCCTATTAGGATTAACAGACTTTGAAATGGAATTTAACAAGGACAAACTTTTCAACTATCTGGTGACTGTGGCCAGAATAAATTATGCAAGACACTGGAGAACAACAGAGATCCCAACACAAGAACAATGGCAAATTAAAATTATAGACATTATGAATATAGACAAATTAACCCAAACAAAGTGACGAACTGGCTGCAAAAAGTGGAGGGAAACTTCTATGACACAGGCATTTAAAACTCGCCCCATGGATTAAAAAAGTATTGAATTGGATGGTGATAATGTGGAAAAAATAATGTAATACCTATGCAACAATCCATGTAAGTTTTATTAAAATATGTTCATTCTTTTTTTTTTTAAAATCTTGTAACCTTACTTTCCGGATAACCCTCGTATTATTATTATTTGATACATAACAAGATTAGTATAGGTTGCTATGCTGGCTTTTGTATTTGATCACATGTCGGACACTTCCCAAGTGTCTAGTACTGTGTGATGTATTGGGGAATAATACATTCAGATCACAGTAGGGTGGCCTTTTGCAGCTGAAACATGGTAATTTTTGTCAGCGCTGATTGTTTTTAAATGCAGGCACTGCACCCAGTGTGCCGATCACGACTGGGACTACCTTTACTGGCTTGTGCCAGAGTCTTTGCAGTTTTATCCTTAAATCTTCATATTGTGTAATCTTTTCCAGTCGCTTCTCGTCAATACTGCTATCATCTGGGATTGCAGCATCGACGATTCATACTCCCCCCCCCCCCATGATTGTGTGGTCAGGAGTGTTGTGCTCCAAAAATTCTGTCAGTCTGAATTCAGAAGTCCCAGAGTAGCTTGACTTTCTCATTTTCTGTAACTTTTTCAGGTTGTGATTCCGCTAGTTTTTTGTTGCAGGAAGATGGTATTTGTGGCACAAGTTCCAGTGGATCATCTAAGCAACAGTATGGATCACATCTGTCTGTGTGATCTTCTGGCAGCAGCTGAGTATGTGATACATCATTTCATCGGCTTCCTTGCAGAGTCTACATTTGGAATCTCTCGTTGTCGTATTTGTGGCACAAGTTCCAATGTTGCTGTCTTCATTGTTATGAGACACATGAACATTTCAAATGTGGTGTAGCCAGATATTTTTGCACAACTAAATTTTTCTCATTCCTCCCTGATCAATTAATTAATCAATGCACTTGACACCTGGATTTCTCTTCCTCTCCACTCAATGAATTCCTTAGAGAGCAGCCAAGTTATAAAGACAAGTCTCACTAACAAATGGTAATGTAATTATTTTTGGGCAGTTAATTACCTTGGGAATGGTAATTGCATTTTCCTCATTTTTAAAATGCATTGTTTTCTTATGGGGAAAGTCCACCGTGGAACACACTGATGTGAGTTCTAACTTTTCTTTTACACTCTAGAGCAGCGTTTCTCAACCTGGGGGTCAGGACTCCTGGGGGGGGGGAGTTGTGAGAGGGTGTGAGAGTGGTCGTCAAATACCATCAAGAAACACAGTATTTTCTGTTGGTCATGGGGTCCTGTGTGGGAAGTTTGGCCCAATTCTATCATTGGTGGGGTTCAGAATCTTTGATTCTGGGTGAACTATAAATCCCAGCAGCTACCACTCCCAATGTCAAGGTTTATGTTTTCCAAACTTCACCAGTGTTCACATTTGGATATATTGAATATTCATGCCAAGTTTGGTCCAGATCCATAATTGTTTGAGTCCAGTTTTTGGCTTACAACTCCCAGAAATCCCAGCCAGTTTAACAGCTGTTAGGATTTCTGGGAGTTGAAGGCCAAAAACATCTGGGGACCCCAGGTTGAGAACCACTGCCCTAGAGCCTCTCTCCCACTATGTACTCATCAATTCCATAAAATGTAGCCATGGCAGTTACAGTTGAATCATAGTGTTATAATTGCCTAGTGTGGAAAAGCCTCTGGAGATCATATGGCTTCTTCCAATCTGGCCACATATGCTGTTCACTAAAAAGCTTGAGGCTGTTTCAAGCCAAATGCAATTTAAAATTGGCTATTAACATACAGTATATGTGCAAAGAAACAACCAAACTAGACATTTATGGCTCTAAACGCAGCAGTTCTGCTGTCTTCCTTAAGCCAGAATTTGTTTGTGTTCTAAAACATTTTATTTACACACGTCCGTGGAACATTTGGAACGGAATAAATATTTTATGCTCTGTAAAAGCTCTTGGTGATTTTTACATCAGGCCAAAATGCATGATACTTCTTCATGTTAAAAAAATGAATTAAATGAATTATGTCCAGTTTGCCGTTCCAACATAGTAGCAATACTGTGTGATATACAGTGATTTCTCTTCTCTTGCATACTCTAGAAAGTGGAGGGAGAGAAGAAACATTTCTAAAAAGCTGAACAATAAAAAAGTAGAAAACTGTGTCCTGTTTTTGAAAGGATATCCCTTGTGCTGACAGTCTTCCATGACTTGATCTTGCTAGTGTCAAGTCAAGAGAAATGGACAGGCCAAAGAAAACTCTGCCGATATTGTATTTTAGCAGGTCACCAAGTTTTTTGGTTAAAAAGAAAGGCTGTGAAGCTAATCCAGATGAGATACCTAACCTTTGTTTATGTTCCACAATGATAACGCCATTTCAGAGGGGAAAAACCAAACTCTCAGCAATAAGAAGGAGCCAGGAAGGTTTCAAACTTTGTTACTTTTTTATTTTGTTAAGGTTTTTCTGACAGCTTGTTTGTTTTGACAGTTGCCAATGGAAAGCTAACCAAGCAATTCTGTCCTTCAGTTCTCCACCCTGGTGGGACAGATTTGCTCACTAATGCTCTTGGGCCAGTGGGCATAATGCTACATCAGCAGGAACAAAATGCTAGTACAAAACTTTGGCAGTATAGGAATGGAGGTTAACTAGGCTATGTTCTTTCAGAGCTTGGTCTTGATTCTGAATAAAGCTGACACAGAAATCTTATTGCGTTCCCAATGCAATGTAATGGAAGGAAATCAATGGAAAATCTCTTCTGAACAAATTTCGCCAAGAAAACCCTTTCATAGGTTCTGAGTTCTCTAGGGGAGATAGTTGCAGGATATAAGTAAAGTACTATTATTATTATTATTATTATTATTATTATTATTTGAAACACAAATAATACTCTGCTGGCTGTTGAATTGGATCACACGTCGGGCACTTCCCAAGTGTCTAGGACTGTGTGAAGTATTGGCGAATAATGCGTGCAGATTCCAGTTGGGTGGACTTTTGTAGCTGACAGATGGTAATTTA